TAAATATGTAAATATTATTAACAGAAAGTGCCATACGATAACCCGTGTTTTGATGGTTTCTGGTCCCCTCTCTTCCTTGTGCCTTCAGTCTCTTAGCGGAGGCTACTCCTATCAACAGGTATCAGACGGATGGGTAGTGCTAACCGCGCTGCCGTGCAGGCACCTGTGTGCTGCCCTGAGAAATCTGAGCAAAACCAATTGCTCTTCATGAGCCTCCCACTTACCAGCACAAGTCGTCTGGACTGTGTTCTTGCCTACTCCTTACTTCTGCTAACTGCATATTCTTTCACAATTCAACGTTCTTTAACTACAACTGCCACATGAAGGACAGCCTCAAAAATATCAAAAGGGTCAGTAATCAGCAACCATGTTAAAGCAGCTACACTGAAATTTCCACCAAAAGTGAAATGAAAAGTTAATGATAAAAATTCAAATGTAGGAGAAATAAAGAGAAAATCCAATCGTTCTACGTATTTGCTAAGCAGGTCACTTATTTGTAATTTTTAGAAAAAATAATCTTTCATTTTTAATGAACAAAAATTCATGCAAAATTCATCTGTGTGTTTCTGTGTGTGCGAGTGTGTGATGAATGACAAGAGAGATGATTTTAGAATTTAGTCTTTTAAATGACTGCCAGAAGCACTGAAAAATAATGTCTGAGTTGAATTATTTTAATAAACATTTAACCTGCCTGTATTTCAAAAGCAGAACATTACAGTAAGTTTTATAAATTGACAGAGAAACATGATGATTTTCTGTACCACTTATTTATTCTGGTTTATCAATGACTCAAGGAAAAAAAAAGTAGATATGCTGATTAATCAGGTTTTATCGATCAGTACCATAATCAATGTTTCACTGAAATATCTGCAGAACCATTTCTCCCAGTCAAAAATTTATAAATCAATGCACATTTCTGATCATTCAGTGTACTAACTCTACAGCCATGAACGTGGTACTTGATGAAAGTCTAGAAAATTTGTGCTCAAGAACATACTGATCAAAGGTAAAATAGTAAACATTTCTGTCAAACCAAGGTTCTAAGAATAAACCAAAAAGTTCAGAACATGAAAACTGCAACTGTTTCAAATACACCTACTAATCTTGTAGATTCTGGATCATTAATAATGATTACTTAATTAGGTAATCATTCAGGGCTTCTAAACACACGCACACACACAGAAACATTGGCATAGCCATCTTTATCTTGAGAGGAAAATTTTGAAAAATGTTGTAGATGCCCCAATGTTCCGTATGTGTCCCTTGTGTAAGATCAGCAAGACACTGAACCCTAGAAGGTAGAGACCTGAAGTTCAGGGAATAAAATAATTTACCTATAATGAAATCATTCATTTATCTTTTCTTGTGGCTTACATTTTAAGCCCTGTTAGAAATATTAAGTAATAAAGCAAACTGCCTCTATAGATTCTTGGAAATACTTCTTTCTTTCCTCTCTCTAGTCTCATCTTCTTTCATTATTGAAAAGTAATTAATGAAATGTCTGCTCTTGCATGCATATCAGGAGTACTTGCCTAGAGAAAGGTTTTCAAACTTTCTGCCTGAAATGAACAAAAGCAACAATAACAGAAAAGATCTTCTATTTAGGAAGAGAAAGAGCCAGCACTGCAAATTCAGCTGCAGGAGTCTTAAACATCACTACTGAATATAGACATATGTATAAAGAATTCCTATAGATCACCCAGAAGCTATCTGATACAATTTTAAGAATCTCACTGATCCAGTACAGTCTAGAGAAAGATGTCCTTTAAAAAAAAAAAACACTTCTAGACATAATTCAAAGAGACCCCATGAACTGTCTTTCTTAGAGAGAAGAAAAGCAAGTCAACTCACACATACAGCTTCCAAACAGAAGTCGCACCCTCTTCCAGGAAAACAACAATGAGATTTTTATTACCCTGCTATGATTCTTTCATTTCAGTCGTGATTAATCAGCAAGAATTACACTTCTCAAAACTCCCAGCTCACTCTTCTCTGCTTCTTCTGAGACAGACTCAGGCAAAATATCCAGTAGTCACCAACGGTATACAGGACAAGTATCGAAAAACTCTGTTTCAAAGAAGGAACACTTCTTTCTTCTCTTTGCCTCCAAAAATGATGCAGCCTGCATTGTAACTGCTGTCACAAAATGTTGTGGCTTTTTTTTTCTTTTTAACTTGGTCATTTTTTTTCTTAACAATGCCCTTCAAATTTTGAATAATGCATACAACACATTCAGTATTCAAGAATACATGGCATGTTTAATCTGATACCTCTATTTTTGAACTGAAATTCCAAAGGACTTGTGAGTCCATGTGGTTTATATTGATAACCATTCACATGCACAATTAATAAACAATAGAAGATGATGCGTACAAGACTGTTTAGGGACATGCCTTTTACAAGAAAAATGTTTCTTTCCAAATAAAAGCTAATTTGTCACTAATGTAATGAAAAGGGGAAACAGGGATGAAGAAGTCAGAGAGAGGAAAAAAGAAGAGAATAACTGAAATGTGAATGAGTGAGAAACTCTGACACTGCATATATGTGCTTCCAAAATACTCTTTTAAAATAATTTTCTTGTAGAACAATCTCTTTTTGAAATGCCCACGTGAGCCTAGAAACCAAACCTACCAGAATATATCATAAATGTCTATTTTTAACAATTATTCATTTATAAAGACTGTGATATCCACTTCAATCTCTCAACTGTTGTATCCAGAAAACTTCACATACAGTGTTAACACTAATAAATAGATCTTGTTGGTTCCAGGAAACCTTCTTCTTTAAAAATCTATCCTGGTCAAAATATCTTTGCTTTTTTTTCTGTTGTATTAAATTTAGGATCAAAAACATCAAAGCAGCTTCCACCTCGGACCTAACTTTTAGAGGATCAATGTGACAAGGCAGTCCCTGATAGATGTTTCTCTTGATAAACGACTTGTTCAAAAGAGACATTGTAGCTTTCATTTCCTGACCACAACACACTTTTAATTTGCAACAGCAGAGCTGCCAGAGTGTGAGCACTTGCCCACTTTCTAGACTTTTTGGTTGGGAGCTCTGCTTCCTTTAGACCACACATTTGACACAAACAAAACTGAAAAATAATCAGAGTAACAGAATCAGAAGATAGGAGCCACTAAAACCTATGGTGCACACAAGTGTCTACTTTGCATATATGCACATCCACTCTGCTTCCAACCCAAATTCTAGTGCATGGTAGTAAGGCTTCTGAACATCTCTTGCACATCGGGCATTTAAACACACGGGGAAATAAATTATGTGACTATTATTTAATAGTAAGCAGAGACTTGGAGGGAGCAATTTACACACTTCAATCTACTATTAAATGTCATGAATTATATGACTGCCTATGCTATCATTTTTTTTACATATTATTGCAATGATTATTATTACCAGTACCCAGAAATCACATCTAAGTATCAATACGGCGAACAGTCAAACCATGCAATTTCTGCTCTCAGCACATTGTCCGAGCTCCGATTTAAAATTTATAAATGTAATATCCTCCTCATCACAGGCAGCAGCCCAATCTGCTCTGAATATATATTACAGCTTTAACATCACAGAGGGAAATCGCCCATCTGGCAATCCCATTCGCTCCAACAGCTCCGGGGGAAAAAAAAAAAAGCTGTGCTCTCTCCTCCTTAAAACATTTCTCAGGGCAAATTATGTGCATCTAAAATAAACAGTCTTCTTATTGATCGCTTCAAAGTCAACAAGTTCCAAATGCAGAATGCAATCAAACCCTTCCTGTCGTGTAAGAGTGGTGTGTGTTCAGCTATACGATAGCCACCAGAGTCCACCCAGAAGTGTAGGTCGCGAAACGCGTCTTCAAGTCCCTCGCCCCTTATTCATGTTTGTGTTATGAGAAAGCAAGGACCAGGGCCACACTACAAACAGCTTATTGGCAGCTTTGCCCCCTGTTATTTCTTTCTTTCACAATCTCTCCTTCCTCCCCTCTCCCTGTTCTGGAGGATGTAGGGTGGTGTGGTAAGGGTAACTCACAAGCCAACAAAAACCCACAACATTCAAAGTGGACCTAGCTTTGGTTATGTAAAACACTTTAACATCTTTCTGTTGTTGTTGTTCCTTCTTAGTCTTAATTGAATATCACAATGTGTGCGCATGGCACAGCCACAAGAGCTATTGAAAACTCCCTCTCACTCCATTTAACTGACTTTTTTTTTTTTTTTTTGTAAAGAAAGTGGAAAGAGCGATTTCAAATGAAGTCAATTTCAGTGCTTGATTATTTAATTCTGTCACAGGTTAAAAGTAAAAAGTGCTGACAGGCAGACAAGTGAATGGCCAGGGAGGGGAAAAAAAAAAGAATAGCCACTGTTCCTTAAAACACATTAAAGACTTAGAGCAATATATATCTTATTTTGATGTAAAAGATACCCCCTCACTCACTGCACCCCAAAAAGCCAGAATAACAGATCACTCCACAAAGCAATCACCGAGAGAACAGATGATCAATTTACATTAGTAGATTAAGGTTAAAAAAAATTTCTTAGCCAGTCTTGTGTGTGTACATATATACTTTGATTAGTTAGCAATTTCCCCTCCCCACAATATTCCCACCCTTTCCACCCAGGCCCCCTCCCCTCAAAAAAGCCCAAGGAGTTTAACTAATTTACATACCATTTGACTCCAGCCGTTATATAGTGCATTAGTACATTGCTAGTAACATGCAACTTTGGGATTGAAGCTAAAACTGATAAAAGTAGACTCAAGCAATATATTAATCAAAACTGAAAAATGTAAACAAGTGCTAGCAAAAGCAAAAAAAAAAAAGCAAGGTGACAGAGTAAAATAAACATACATGTATTTTCATAAAAGGAATTAGATATGTATATGTATATATATGTACAGAGCATTAGCCTCCGCTTCCCAAGCAGAGTCTTCTCTGGTTTTATCATGCTCTTTAATTTGTCTTTCCTATTTAGATGCAAAGGAAGTAAATTCCAAAACTGACATACCATAAACACTGGTGCTACTGATCATTTCTTGCTGGCAGCACAAAAAGCTGAATTGGATTTCTCACAAGCAGGAATTCCAAAGGTTGCTTTTCATTAAAGCCACTTTTCCTCTCAGCTATCAAATGTCACTGCCTTGAAACGTGGGCCCTTTCGTCAGGTATTCATTTAACCTACATGCATATAATTAAGGGGGAAAGCAACATCAACAAAAAGGGGATCTCAGATCACAGGAGAAGAAAGAAAGGAAAAAAAGCACATGACCAGGAATGCAAGTCCATGTCAATTTCACTCACTCCCATTGAAACTAACAAGAGCTCCGGGGAGGACGGTAATAGGATCAGTGGATTGTATATACCATTAAATTATACATCTTTCTCTCCCGTTCCTTGCCAACAATACGCCCACCACGCTGTACCCCCTCCAAGATGATGTGCTTACATTTTTCTGCAACCGATCTTCTGACGTTTTCCTCACTTCCCCAGCCACCAGATTGTAATTTAACCTCAACTTTTTGTGTGTGTGCAAGATTCTTATTTACACTTCTTATTTACTTAGAAGTTAGTTCCCGAAGAAAGTCTAGCCCCACCCTTCGGTTCCGCTTTCTTATTTTTCTTTTCTTTTCTTTTTTTCTTTTTAATTTTTGAAGTCAAAAGATAGTGGTAAGTAAACCCAATAAAGCGACACGCGAGATTCTTGCAATCGCGAACTCTTAATCCCATACTACAGTTAAAAACGACTGAGCAGGAAAAAAAAATATATATATATATATATGCATTCTAATGTTTCGGGGCTACTTTGTAGGGAGAAATTAGACAGCAGGTTGGCGTACGGAATAGGAACAAATGCAAATTAAATGTAATGTTTACGGCCCAACTCGAAGATCTCTTTTTATTGCGGGTCTGGGACCTATTTATATTCTTTAAAAAACAAAAACAAAAATTTAAACAGATGGTAGCAAACTACGAAGCTCTCCTTACCTGAACGCGCGGAGCGAGAACCCGATAGGTTAGCGTAGCATCGATCCGCTGTGTTTGCTGATGAATGGAAGCGAGGGTTAAGCGAAGGTGCTTATGATTTGAAATCATTCCAAGTTTTTGAAGGGAAGACGGACTGCAGCCTCTGCCATGTTGGAATTTCAAACCCAAAACAGCTGCTTGGAAGGAGCCAGCATGCCAGAGGCTGGGCGCAGGCGCAGAGCGCCGCCGAGCCAAATTCAAATCACTTTCACACTAAGAGCCAAAGATCAGTTTTCAAAGGAGAGAGGGAGAAAAGAGACGGAGGCTGCCGCGAGGGAGAGAGGACGGGAGGCAGTGGCGAGAGGCGGGCAGTGGCGAGAGACGGGCAGCGGGAGCACCGGGAGGGAGAGGGAGAGGCGCTCGGAGCCCGCGGAGCTGGAGGGGGAGAGAGGGAGGCGGGAGGCGAGCGGGCGAGCTCGAGACGCGCCAGAGATTCATGGGCAGGGAGGGCTCAATGGCCGCGCCGCGCCGGCCGGCCGGCCGCTCGGGTCATGTTACACAGCCGGGGCCGCGGCGGCCTCCCAGCCTCGCCGACGCGCTCCCGCGGCCCGGAGGGGCCCCCGAGGTCATGATGACGCGCTCGGGGACGCGGGGCTCTGGCTGCCTGCCCCGCGCGCTCGGGCGGCGCAGCCCGGGGACAGGGGCGCCCGAGCCTCAGGGGGTGGGCTGGGCTGGGCTGGGGGGCGCGAGGGGCAGGGGCCTCGCTTTCCCACGCGTGACCGAGGCAGCCCGGGAGGACCCGGGACATGGGGCTGCGCGGGCCCCTCCCCGCCGCTCTCGACAGCTGCGGGGGCCCGTCCGCCTCTTCCCAACGCTCGCGACCCTCCCCACGAGTCTGCCAACTGGACGGGCTCCGACCCTGAAGAGTCGGGACCCCACTCACCCGCGCCATCCCCTGGACCCCACACCCTCCCGGCCACGCCGGGGACCAGCCAGAAAACGACTTTATCTGCCAAGAAGAACGCAACTTCGGGGGAGAAATCCGTTTTCAACCAGTCGCCCTCCCCCGCCTCCCTGGGAATAAATAAAACCCTAAGTATCTAGGTGTGCGGTCCCCTCCCGCGCCGGCGGCACCCTCCCTACCTCCCCCAGGCGGTTCGGGCAGGGGAGAGCAGTGCCCGGGGGCCCGGCGCGGGCTGCAGCGCGCCGGCCGAGATGCTGGGCTGCTGCTTTCCCAACCCCCTCTAGGAGCGATCCGGGACCCAGGAGTGGGAAGAGAGTAGGGGCTTTGTAGTGCTGGGAGCTCAGGAAGAATGAGATGTGCAGTTGAGTGTGTTGCTCGCATCCCAGGGAGCAGTGCAACGCTGATTGTCTGTTGCTGAGATCGCCTTTTGTTCGGAACATAAGGTTTAAGGAACACACACACGTTTTCTGGGGTCTCTTGTTAGATGTAAATGCGCTGTATCCAGACGCTTACTATGCAGGGTAAGCTCAGTTGGTTTACTAATCACCCCGCCCCACCCCCAAACAATCAGGATCATTTCAATGGGAACCTCATTCAGACTTCTGGGCTGAGGGTATTGCCTGCAACCTATTTCATTCTAGACTAGCCAACCATCCAACTGAGATAATAAAGCAAACAATAACATTTGATCATGATGTCTATGAGACCATGTGCCCGGCAAAGTTCTTGAGGAATTATAATGAGAAAGACAGTGGGTTCTGTAATAATTTCTCTTCGTTTTCATTAAATATGACTTTCACAGATAAAGGGTGAGTTTAGGCTCCGGCCTGGTGGACATTCACTTCGCTGTATTTCAACTAAGCTGAGAATGAAAGGGACAAAATTGCATATTCGTCCAGCAGCTCATCAAGCTAGAATACGTTACCTTTGAAGGTTGCACAGGAAGATGTGCTTGTTTAGGGCCGGCCCTCCTCAGAACAGGGTCTGCTTGGCCCAGCTTTGCTGCTGTGGACTTAATAGATGAAATTGCAGTTCTGCAGATGCTTAAAGGTGGGTGTTTAAAAAAATATGCCACCTATACGCTTTGAAATTAATCTCATTTTCCTTTTGTGATTTCCTTACAAGTGAATGGATGCATTTAAGTGGCACAATGAGAAAGGAGAACGATTTTAGTTACAACTAGGCAGATGACAGAATTTAAAAGACAAAAAAAAAAAGTGATTCAAGATCTTAATATTTCTAAGCCATTAGATTTCTATTTGGAGTGGATTTGACCTTTCTGCACATTTTTTTTTTTAAATTCGGCTTCAAAATAAAACAGACGAACTTGATTCTGTTGTAACAGAATACTGAAACCCCTTTAGTTATATTTTACAAGATAGCTTTGAAACGGATATTGTAGAAACTTGTTCATTAGATTTTACCACAAAGAAGTAAGTGTAGGGAAATAGCTGTGGGTCACCGTCAGGTTGAGTACGCATGAGTTTTTTAAGAATTTTTTTTTAAAGAAGTAATTTCAGTTACTGCCTATGTGGGAAATGACAACCAGAAGTTCTCTGAAAACATGGCAGATGCTCTGTATGAGTCAGGCAAAACCGTTCAGTCTTTGTTTGTCAAAAAGTTCAGAACTCATCAACCTTTAACACTAAATTCCTAGTATTGAATGTATAGTTCCTTGAGTAAATCATACTATTGAATAAAATAGAGAAGGGAATACCTACTGAGTACAAAAGCATTGTATTTTGATGATAGACTCAAAGCAACTCTTGGAATATCTGAAATGTAACCCCTATTCTAAAAAGGAAAGAAAAATGTGTTTGGCAAAAGTTTAGTAACAGATCATAATGAATACCTTTTTCTGTTCCCTCACTTATGTTTGAAATAAGCACTATAAAAACCATCACTCAACATTGAAAGGGCCGCAATTAATCTTGGAATCAAGCAGCGGTAAACTATTTAAAAAGCATACTGCACATATTTACACAAAGTTTCAAAATCATATATACTCCAGGGGAAAGTTTTTACATGGCAGAATATATATTCTGGGATTTGCATGACTAACAAGAGCCACATCAAAGTATAGTTCGTTTTATACTACCTCCAACAGCTCTTTTTCCTTTAGGTATGGATCCAAATTGCTTTTGTCAAGTTAACCTCAGCAAAGGAAAATAATAAGACTTTGTATTTTATAGAGATGTATTGCTTCTTTCTGGTTTTAACAGTGTTTTTGTTTTGAAATAGAACTATTTTTAATGATGTGGCCTGGTTTGACACATTGACATAGTCACCATATTCAATCTCCATCCATCTTTAAAACTTATACTCAAATGAATGTTCCCAGTTCTAACTGACTTCTATCTCTATTGTCTGCACATAACTTATGAAACTTCTTGTTACAGCATGAGAATTAGAAAATGCGCTCTTAAAGGGAGTCGATTCACTAGTCAAAGAAGCATTTCAAAGATTTGATTGCACGTATTTTCCCCATTTCATCATACAAATTGCTGAATAATTTCTTACAGTTTTGCTTTGTTAATGTACAATATTAAAATATAACAAATTATAGTACATAATACATTTTGAGTTCAGCTTTTCAAGAAAATTCAAAGAAAAGTAAATGTATCTATTGTTTTCCTTCAGACTCTATATGTGTGTGTGTGTGTGTGTGTGTGTGTGTGTGTGTGTGTGTGTGTTCTTCTCAAACCAATTCAGAAGAGTAGAATTCTATTCGTTCCTTGTTATTGTTCTTAAGGTAATCAGCAACGTCAGCCAGAGTGAAGGGTGATATTGCCTGTGATTGTGCAGGTGACTTACACTTCTCTATACTAGACCAAGGATAATTTGAGCTAGGCTGGATACAGAGATGTACTTTATGCATATGATGGGAGAGGAAAAGGATGAGAAAATCAACATAGACAGAAAAGAGAAGTTTAAAAAGATGAAGGAGATGAGAGTGACAAGACGCTTTAGTCTGGAAACCTATGATAATAAATGCCTCTTAAAATGGTAAACAGTCGAAATCAAGTTTCAAATGCTTGTTTTTAGTTTTAAACTTAAGCCTTTAACAGTTCAATGAAATGTTAACATAATACCATTTTCTTCCAAGCCACTATGTTTCAGGATGCCAATAGTTGTTCACAAAACCTAGACCCTGTTTTTATACTGCTCACAGAATCTAAAATAGATCTTAAAAATAATGCAAATTAGGGACAATCTTTTTTTAATTGTTCTATGAAGTTGAAATTTATTTGAAGGGCTATCATTTCTGCTTCAAATCAGCTATGACTGCTAGGAAGCAAAGCAAGTGAAAACCTTGGCTTCATTGAGTAAAATCACTCAGTTTGTTCAGAATTACACTTGAATACAGGTACTGTCAAACGACGTTAGAGTGGGCCATGTGTCTCCTCTGAGATCCAGCTCCACGGTGCAGACAGACTTGGAAATTCAGCCATGAGTTCATTGAAGATGTGTTCGATTATGTAGCAGGGCTCTCTTCCTGTAATATGAGTTTTTTTTTTATTTTGTTTAACATCTATTTGCAGTGTTTAACGTATGTGGTGCAAAACCATATAACTTTACATGGGTCTCATTTTATTTAGAAAGTACATATGGAGTACTTACTGTGGTTTTAAGTATTGCAGTAAAAATTTCAGAGGGTTTAAGGAAAACTGACATTAACACTTCACAGCTAGTCAGAAAATATAGCTCCAAGTGAATGTTCTAAGTGCAGTTAGAGAAGGAGTTTTATCCAGGAGACCATATGGGTTTTTTCATGAAAGAAAAGGTGGTTTTCCACACTTCCTTGTCTCAATCTTTGTGCTCTGCTGCACAGCACCATGTGTAATCTGTATGCTTTGCTTGTCGCTGGACTCCGACTCCCAGACTGGACTGCCTCATCTTCCCCTTGTCTCCCTCACCATGCTCAACACTGCCCTCCTCCAGCAACACGGCCTGCTCTTCCTCAGGACACATCAGTGTCTTTCCCCACTTTCCCTTCAGTCTCTACAACACTGTCACTTCACATTGTTGGGAAAGTATCTTTTGTGTTTGACTCCTCGATTAGATTACCCCTTTCTGGAGGAGGCAAGCATTGTAATTTTTATCATTGGTTTATGTGTTTTGTTGTTTTGTTTCATATCCCAATTTCTAAATGATACAATAATCCTGAATAAATATTTACTGAGGAAATTAACAAGCTGATATGCAGAGTAAATAAGACAGATCTTCA